TCCTCCCAAGCTGCCCCCTGAACCTCCCAATCTGAAACTGTGGCTCCTGTTAACCGCACTCCTGGCTTCTGATGGCCAAATGTCCTCTTCTGACCTCTCCTGTTTCAGGACCCCTCCCCTCCTCTGCTCACAGTGTTCAGATCTTCAGGGCCATCTCACAGCAACTCCAGGCCAGAGAGGAAATACGAGGGAACTCCTCAGCGGTCTGGACACCTCGTCTACCTGCAATTTTCTTGGCTTTGGCAAACATCGTGTCCTGTGTAGGCACCTCTGGGCACCATCAGTAACTGATATGTTTTCTGTTCTCACACACTGAGTCCAATCTAGCATGTTTGCTCCTCTACACCTGGTCTGCCATGGTACTTTGGGAATGTTGCTATCTTAAGGGGGATAACTACTTTTCCCACACTGCTAAGAACCATCCAGGTACAACTCAACTTGTACCCTCAAAAGAAATCAGTGATGAGTGAAGTTCAGGGTCACTGGCCCAATAGAAATCTGAACCAATTTCAACTTTGGACTTAGGACTCCTTAATGTAGAATGTGCTAAATTCTAGAATGATCTGTAATACTAAAGCAAACCTCCCTCATTTCCCCTACTGCTCCCAAAAGGACCTATGATCATTTATTCAAGTAATTGCACACTGAGGAAAGAACACTCAACATTTCATGGACTGTGAGATACAAGGTCTGAATCAGTACTGACACCAGGTGACCAAAGTATCACCAAACAAGACAATAAACACCACTTTGCTTCAGGTCTAACTTATGGTGCACAACACACCCAGGAGTCAACCCACTAGTCCCGACTTTAAAATTGGAATAGTCATCGTAATTGTTAGCACAACCTTTCACATTGCTTCCTTGACCTACAGCCAAGTGCAAGACCTTAAAACTACACTCTTCTAGCCTAGACAAATCAAAACTATGGGAGACAGAGTGGCAAAACTTAGTGTTATCCCTTAAAATGTAAGGGAATGCAAGGCTGACACTTCTTATCATAATCCCATTTAATTTACCTGTCTGCCACTACAAATGCCAGATGGACTGCAGAAGAAAAAATGGGAACTTCCAAAAACTCAACCAATATGGCCTTAATCATGGTCACTCTGCTAAATATGGATTTTTGCTACAGAAAATAGGACTACCTTAACTACACACTACAGCAACGGGCAAATGTATTCTTTTCTATCCCTATCAGGAAAAAAAAAAAGTTTGCATTCACATGTACAACACTGGATGTTTACAGCTTATCTCACACTACCTGGGCACCGTACAAAACACGCCAGTTCACTTCATCAATGACATCAAGCTGTTAGAACCAGATAAGCAAGAAGAGGCTAGAAAGTTAAAAGCCTTATTAACCATAAACAAGCAGGTGGGAGGTAAACCTTATGAAGAATTCAAGGACTCTGCCATGTAAGTAAATTTAAAAGTTCACTAGTGTAATGCAGGGACACAGAACACTTCCTTAACGGTGGAAATAGCAGAGTACGGTGGCACATGTGTGTAACAGTAGTGTTCAGGAGGCTGAGGACAACTGAGACAGACAGTCTGAGTCCAGTCTACACTATATAATAAAATCCTCTCTCAAAAAAAAAAGGAAAAAGAAAAGAATAAATGATTGCATCTTGCACCTCCCATAACAGAAAATGGGGGTAGTGATCACTGGCTTCTTCGGGTTCTAGGGCAGCGTGTTCCACACCCAAGGATAAATTCTGAGTCACAGAATGTGAGATGGCCCTGAAGATCTGAACACAGGATAGAAGGCACAAAAAGCAAAGTGGGCTGTGTCCAACGACGGGATGGCAAGAGAAGTCCCACATAGAAGAGGTAATTGATCATCAGATGGAAGGAGGGCTAGACATGAAGGAGGCATAAAGAACATATTTAGCACACAGATGATACACTCCTATTCTGTCTGGTTCTGACAACAGACAGACAGGTTTAGCCTCCCTGGTCTAAGAAGGCCATGGTAACCAAGGGCTCAGGCCTCCAGGGACCTGAGTTGTAACACTAGGTAACTCGCAAAGGCCAAATAGCACACTAAGGAAGGGGAAGGAGAACCCAACAAAGCCAGAACAGAAAGGAAAATATGATTCAATTGTAGTGACCACTGGCCTTCCTCTTCTGAACCTCTCCCAGCAGAAGAGGCCCACTGGCCTCTAACAGAGCTACACAGACAGGTATGAAAAAGCTACTCAGGCAGATGTGAGTGGACTGAAGGACAGGCTGTGGTGGAACCCATGATATGCTTCACCGATCTCCCTTCCCATATATACTATTTTTATTCCAGGTGCAAAGAGTGGCCAGGAGGCACCTTTGGCTGGTAGCAGGCCAGGGACTGTGTCTCGGTTGACAGCACCATGTCATGCAAGGTCATACCTCCCTTCCAGGGCAGCCAGTAATTTTAGCTGTCCCAGCAGTATAAAGGCCTGGCCTCTTCTGCAGTGCTCCCTGCAGTGGGCTGTGACATCCCTGACATTGCAACACTGCCTGATGTTAGCCTTCCCCACACCTGTGCCTTCCACCCCACAGCACTCAGCAAACCTGCTCCACTATGAACTCTGCATCAGCTGGCATCCCAGAGAGTAAAAACAATGCTCCTACCTGCATTTCATGATGGCTGTTTACCAATGAGTAAAGCAACATGTCAACAAAACGCAGAAAGCATTTGTATTTAAATGCACTTTCAGCTCCACTAGAAAATAAAGGTCAGTATTATAATCCAAATATGTGCTCTATTGACTGTGTTCCTATATTTTAAACCGATTTGATTATAAAAGTCATAAAACTTCAGCATTCTAACTGTACCTGAACACCAAAAGAGCAACCAGAATACATTTAAAAATTCTGATATACTAATTTGCAACAAGAAACACTAGGTGTCACTAGTGCATCAAGAAAAGCTCAGTTTCCTGACAATTTAGGGAGCTATATTCTAATACATTCCAGAGGAAAGGCTTTAAAATGCTCTATAATGAACAAATTCCCTTCTAAACTCCATATGCCATTTATTAAGCCACCAAATCTTAAAGGCACAAAAATATTTAAAATTATCTCCATGCTAAAAGATACATCAGCACAAAATAATTTATCATGAATTCATTAGAAATTAAAACATTTTACATAATTTAATCATGCCTAATAAAGCATATACGATGTTAGTAATTTCATGTAATGCAGCCATTTAGCTTCAGCTAACCTGTTTTTGGACGGCAGAAACATATCTAACTGGCCATATCATGGTCCTCTGATTCTAACTCTTTGCCTGCTTCTCACACCTCGATGGACTGGGGTGATTATACCAGATAACCCCAAATAATTTTCCTTTCTTACAGCAGCTGATCAGCAACTCAACTGTGTCTGCAACTTTAACGTTCCTTTGATACGAAACAAAACCATTCAGATTTAAGGGATTAGGAGGCAGAACTCATTGGAGCATATTATTCGACCACATAGAGTAAACATCAGAAAGGCCTGAAAACTAAGAGGGAATCCGTGGAAGCCAAAGAACCAAAGAGTAGGATAGATTCCCAGCATGGCCAATATCACCCATGTGCAGAAGTGAGAAAGGACCCTTTACAAAGCAAGGGGAGAGACGAGAAACACCTAAATGTGGAAAGCATACACAGGTCTAAAGGCAGAGGGTAGAGTCCTATGGGGTGGTTTATTTGAGTCCTTCACTACCCAAACACTGGCTGACCATTAAGCTATTTAGAGGCAGGGGTGGCAGAAAATTATGCTGAAATATTTTTCATTTTTTAAAAAAACGGAGCAGAGATAACAGTTGGCCAGACTCACTCCCAATTCTACAAAGTAAAGTGAGGCCAACCAGTTATAAATTTAACAAAAGAACTACAAGATTTTTTTTTTTTTTGGTCTTTTTCATTTTTATCGGTACCTGGGATCGAATTCATGACTGCCTGCTTGCAAGGCAGGTGCTTATGCCGCTGAGCTAAACCCCCAACCCCAGAAGTACAACATTTATAGGCCAAAAACATGATGAAAGGATAGCCATAGATCAAAGAGAACTGGAAATCCAGAAATAAACCTTTCCATGTATGATAAATTGATTTTCAACAAAGATGCCAAGGCAATTTGATCAAACAGTAGATACATGTTGTTATATCTGCTAGATGGAATCAGAGCCACAAGGGGAATAAACTACTCATATATGCTACAGAGCATGGATGAACTCACTATCAGGGTCAATTAAAGACTAACATAAAAGTTTATATGATCCCATTAATGAATTCTAGGAAATACAAATATGAGGAGACAGAATATGAATTTGGTAGCCCGGGACTTGGGTTAGGCACAGGGAATGAATGTAAATAGGCTGAGGAAATACTCTGGGGTTACAGAAATGTTCTAAAACTGGATGATGGTCATGGTGATTGTATTAGCGCTGCATTCAGAAAGGGTTATATCTTGCTTTATATTTTGAGAGACTTCAGTCTAAGGTTGGGCTCATGTCAATACAGAAGCGGCATAGGAAAATCCAAGGCAGAGGAAAGCTGCCCACTTCATGGTGGCTGAGAAGCAGAGAATGAGAGGAAGAGCAAGAGAGGGAGCGACCAGCGCCTGGCAAAGTCCCCGACATCACCTGCAGTTGTACTCTGCTAAACTCCTAGGGGTCTCTCAAATCAATCATGGTGACAGGCAGGATTAACCATCACAGCGGTACACCTGTGTAAATATACTAAAAATCACAGAGAACTGTAAATGATACAGCAATTAAGCTGTTTTGATAAAGGAGTAATCAGGAGGTCCCCATTGTTGGGGTCTGCAACCAGAGGTTGCCTTCTCGCTGAGGATGGTACGGGGAATCTCATGGTCCAACTGTGAGATCCTGTGCACTTTTGATCCAAAGGGCTGGTTTTTACGATTTTTATGGCTTTTTCCAGTTGTTAGCCATACGGTTTTAACAGTAAACAGCAGGGACTCCTCTCCCAAAGATTTCATTTGTGAACACTGAAAAGCAGAATATTTTTCACCTTTCGTCCCGTAAAGGCAGCTCGATGGAGTGGTGTGTCTCCCATGTCATTTAACACATTCACTTCTGCTCCAGCCTGGAAAACATGAAAACTTTAAATATCTTCCACATATCAAGAACTACAGCCAGGCATGGTGGTGCACACACCTGTAATCTCAGCACTCAGGTGCCTGAGGCAGGAGGATTGCAGCAAGTTCAAGGCCAGCCTGTGCTACATGGTGAAATGCTACCTCAGAAGGCCAAAACAACTATAAAAGGTAAAAATAATTCCTGAAAATACATGAAATATTTTTAAAATGTAGACAAGTATCAATGTTGTTTGGTTGACACTACTACTAAATAAATCAATTCATATTTTACTTTTACATAGACAGTTTTCCTGAAAGGCAAAAATCTACCAGAAAAGGTCCTTTTCTTTAAAAGTCTATACACCTTAACTCTAGAAGTCATTATATTGAAAAAATAATTATCTCTGAATATGTCTACCAACAAGTTAATAAGTTTTGAGACTTAAAAAACCACAATGTAAATGTACATATAGGTTGAAAGATGTAACCCAATTTCAAAAGTATCCATGTGAAAAATTATTCAGAGAATTGAGAAATACAAAGTCTCAATTCTCATTAAGTATGGTTATATGAGATTGTGATATTAGATGTTTTTATTATTTTTACATTTGTCATAAAACTGAAAATTATATCTTCATTAATATGCCCAATTTGCCATTCTTAAAAGGCACTAACATAAAATTACTAAAAATAGACTTTTAATTCAAGCTAACCTAATTCATATTTAGTAAAGAAAAATTAAGTGTCTTTAATGACAAACTATTGCTTTAAATAAATGCTTACTGCTCAACTGGCTTTTCTAAGACTTTCATCTTATAATTTCCGTAAGTTATTATAGTCATTCAAAAATTAAAGCCATAAATAGACCTTCAACAGATCCTGGACCACTTGTCTATGTCCAAAATAGCATGCCAGATGAAGAGGTGTCCAGCCCAAATTAGACTTACTTCTTCCTACAAATGGAAGCAGATAAGGCAGTTTTAGACATTATTTAGGTAGTTTTACAATAAACTGAGTTTCTTCCTATGAAGCTACTTTAATATCATGGCTTGTGGCTTTCCTTCACACTGTGCCAAGAGCAGAACATTACAGAAAAGCAGAGTAACAAATGCAATGAATTTTTTCTTCGTGGTGCTGGAGATCAAACTCAGGGCTTGGAACATGCAAGGCAAGTGCTCTACCACCGAGCTACACCCCCAGCCCTGAAGCTACTTTTTTTGAACTCAAAATCTTCATCCCTAAAAGGACAGAGGGGATATTGACAAGGTTATATTTAAATTATTTGATCACTATTTGGCTGTAAAACTTTGTGTCTCTAACCATTCATTTGGCCTCCATCTAGCAGAGACACTGTTCTCATGGCATATTTCACAAGAAGCAATTCTCTTGGAAAACTTCTATGGTAAGGAGCTGAAGGAAACGCAGAGCAACTCTGAAAACCCACACTACATAAGGAATCTATAGTGTCCTTCCTGCAACACAGTGAGCTCAATGGACAGGCTGAAAATGCAGTGTGGCTCCAGATTCAATTTCAGCTAGGTTACCAGAGTGCAGAAGAATCAACTAGACAACCAGAACCAAGGTTAAAAACAGTGAAACATTGGACCCTAGCCACACAGCTGGAAAGAGGAAGAAGAATGTCTCAACAATGAAAGGTAAACAATTTGGCAATAAAGATAAAAAAGGCCACTACTGCTTTGAGTGGAGATGCTCCCAAGGATTGCTGAAACTGTAAAGAGAGACCACAGCCCTATCAGATCCCCAAAGCTCACCATGTTGAAGGGGCTATCAAAGGCCAGGTGCACTACAATCAGCGACCACTCCAGGGGAGCTGCCTGCAGCTTAACAGCTCAAGTGCATGGTAGGAATTGACCTGTAGTAGGCTCAGCTCTCAGCTCCCAAATTTCAGGTTCTTAACTCAGTCTTCAGCCACCAACCTGAGAGTAACCACCACGGAATGATGACAACCCCTATCCCCCACCCCAAGGGACTATAGCTTCCAACAGCACGTCTGTGATTATTTGTCATTGATCCAAACTGCTGCATCTGTTTCCTCTCACACCCGTGCCCTGTGGAACTACTAATTACCCAGTCAAAAAATCCCAGAGTCTCAGCCTACTTCACCAAACATTTCTTTTGTCTTCTGTTCTTAAGTGAAACCTGGCTCTTCCTGATGCTAATGATCCCCATCCACTATTCCTTGGATAGAAGCTCCCCAATTTCCACATCCACACTGCACAGAAGCCATGCAAAGCTCTGCATCAAAACGCACAGCTACCTTTGGTCAATGCCTTCTCCTCTTGAACCGCCACTCCCTCAAATGCCTCTGCCGCTGCCACCTGCCAGCATTCTAGTGGCTCATCCCCCTCCAAGTAGCTTTGGGTACATGGCCCTTTCCCCTACCTCAAATCCTACCATCATCCTAGGGGTGCCTACTCTCCATGCAAGCATCCTGGTCTCTCAGTTTCTCATTTCATGTGGTTATGGCTTGCACCAACAGGTCCCCCCAAAGCCTCATATACAGTCATAGGTGGGTGACTCTAGAGTGTGTGACTGATTCATGATGCAGTGCTAGGATTAAGGGTGTGTGATTATTGAATCATTCCACTGATTGGTTTGACACCACTCTAACCCAAGTAGCCTGGATACAACATAAATGACAAAAAGAGGCTTGTCCTCTCCCTTCCCTCCTTTGCATGCTTTGCTGCCTTCTGCCCATGAACTGTTTCTCCTCTGGGATGTCCCTTGGCCATGCTACCCTGCTTTGGAGCAAACTAATTATGGACTGAAACCTCTGCAAACTGTCAACTAAATAAACCTTTTCGCCTTTCTCACTTTGGGTATTGGGTATCTGTCCCTGCAATGACAGAGAAGTAACTAAGACACTCAACTTCCCTCTTTACTTACAAACCAAGTCTCTGCTCAATGCCAGATACTCACCACCACGGTCAATATCTGGGTATCACTATCAACAGAAAACCACTTTCCTGCAAACTCCCATTGCCAGCTTGTTCACATAGGACTTACTCTTTGATTTATCAGGCCCATCATCCTTTAAATCACAGTTCATATATGTAAACAGCCCCCATATTAACTTCTATCAATAAATGATCCCTCATCAGTATCTCTTCAATACTCTTTCTTCAATATCTTCATCACAGATGCCTAGAAACCCCCACAGCCTGACAAGTCCACTAGTTCAGAGCCACAGTGGGCTGCTAACCAGTGGAAGCAAAGTTAGAGTCCCCCTGTGGGTTTTGGTACCACAAGGTCAGGACCCCACACTTCACACACAGGCTGGGCAATCCTGCTGATAATGCCCTCAGCAGGTGTCCTTCCTACCTTGTGTGACAGGTGTTTCAGTCCATCTGGTAGCCTCCTCAAGCTTCCTATCCGGCCCCTTCTCCCTTAGAAATGACCTCACCTTTTTAGGCTTCACAGTAAAAACAGAAGCTTTCATAGCACTTCTGGGCTTCCCAACAACCAATCTGCCTTCCTTTCCTCCTGATGCCAAAGACCAGCTACTCTTCCCCTCCTGGTTCTCAGGTCTTCCACTCCCCGCTATCTTCAACGTCACCCTCTTTCCTGGGTCACAGGAAACAAACAAAAAGCAACCAAGCCATCCTTGTGCCGGCATCCTCACCAGCTATGCTCCCCACAGTCCCTTGCCACATTTACCTTTCACCTGCACTTTCATAACCAATCGCCTCATTTTCCCTGCGAGTCATCACCACCATCCTTGCTTTTTCCTTCCTCCTTTTCACTCCCATTCAGTAAGTTCTATTGCTTCTACCTCCAAAATATTAATTAATCCACTTTTCTCTACTCCTATGGCTTCTGCCCCCATTTATCCCACAATTTGGTCCTCTAAGTGATTAGAAGACTAACTTCTCTACTCATATCTAGCATTTCCACGTGAAATTCTAAATCAAGAAATTTTCAAAATCATAAATTATCCCAAAATTGCTTTAAATGTCCTACATACTCTATTATCTATAGATATCTAAAATAAGTTGCAATGAGTAAGAAATATTAAGTATTTACAAAGAACAAGCCCTACAAAGAATATTCAGATGGTGGAAAACACCAGCAGGTATTACCGGGTAATGGTTAAGTAATTTCACATCTGGACATCCTAGCAAGATGACAGTACTACACAGAAGCAGGCATTGAGACTAACCAATGTATGTTCTTATTCTGCTTCTGAAACTTATTCCTTAGAACACCACTCATAGTTCCTTAGGAAGTATATTATGTATATAAATATTATTATTTACCTATCTTTATTCACAAGAATTCACATGAGCAATAGAATCATGAAACTACACACAGTATGGCAATAGCTATAAGCACAACTAGCTAGATTCACTAGCCCAGACCCTAGAAATATCAACCTTAAACGTCTACCTGGGCATGTTAGTGCTTCAGTCTCTCATTTTCAATTGGACATCACAGTATTCTTTGCCACAATAACACCGTTATGGTGTTAATCTTTAATTCTTGCAGGAGAATTATAGTACATTATACCATCTTCCCAATAATCTCAGGATGAGAAACACAAATAAGAAAACCAAGAAATGCCAGGAAGGAGCTGCCACATGGAAACACAAAATTCCTACATGTCCATTCTTGCCCATTCCCTTTGGTCGCACGCCTGTGTATCATCTGGTTATGTCCCTCTTCTACATAAACCCTTCAAACTTCCCTAACAGGTATAACAAGGTGACATTTTGAAAAAACATTAACATATTTCTCAGTTTCACATTTCCAAGTAGGTGACGTTCCAGTAATCAGCCGGAGGCTACCATGGATCAAGGCGGGGTAGACAGAAGAGAGTCATTGATGAGGATCAAATATTTTTAGCATTCCACACAGAATCCTGAAGTAAAGACTAACAGCCTTTGAAGGATGGAGGGGTTTTAAATTCCTTTACACCAACTCAGACTATTAGTTTTTAGACCACTCAGATTAGTTTCTCTCTGACTATAAAGATAACATTCCTTTCCCATGAGGCACGCTATCCTTGGAGAATGTCACAGAAGAATAAAATATCTATATACCCATCTGAAGGCTGCTCTTCCTGGGACACAGGGATTGTAGGAGAAAAAAAGACAAGATGAGACGTATAGTTTCTGATCTCAAGCCCTGGAAGTGAGAGAATCAGGAGACATGGAAGAACACGTAAGCTATGTCTGAGATGCTGGGAAAAGACCTGTCTTAGTGCCCTGTAGTAAACTGGTAACTGGTGGTCAACTTAAATACCAGCTGAACTGAATCAGCATAGTGCTGAGTGTGGATGTCCCACTCATAAAAAGGAGATATGGATAGGAAGAGTAACACTGTCAGTTCTCAGCTCCAAACACCTCAGTGGTGGTGTTTGGAGCTGTTAGTTTTCCTGGAAGAGCTTGTCACGCCAGCTTCCCAAATATGAATTCAACTGTTATCATTGGAGAAGCTCGGGTTCTTGTTGCTGAGAATGGCTGCAATTCACTTTGCAGGAGCTCTGGTCCTTACTTTTAACACTGCTTTTTGGCTCTAGAGGGGAAGATGTGTGCTGTTTACTCTCCAGGAGAAGCTTGTCATGCTGGCTGCTGATAAGTACTCAGCTGTTCTCATTGTCGGAGGAGCTCTGAATCTCACTGTCTCTGAGGATGGCTGTGGTACTTCTCAGGGAAGCCCTGATCCCTACCTTGAGCACTGCTTCTTGGCTCCAGTAGAGAACCCTTGGCCTACTGGCACAGATCCTTCATCCCTCTGGCATAGACTCAGTAGTTTCCACCACCCACCTTTGGGCCTTCCCAGCGCAGATCTGTGGGACAGACTTGCATGAATCATTGTCATGGGCTCTAGGTTTACAGCTGAACTCATACAGGTTATTGCCATGGGATCCAGGCCCTCGGCTGGATTTTCTAGGTCTTTAGTGTTGTGGAAAGATTCCCTGTACTTTCTATTT